TTTCACTGACTTTAGTTTGTTAGCTATGGTAAAGAGCATTACAGTGACATTTTAGTACGTTCCTAAATAGTTCCCCAAACTATTCCCAAAGAGTAAGGTTGTTAATATTTACGATAGGACAGTTAGCGGTGTAAAAATTCTGTCACTTAATATTAATTATGCCTTATATGCCTTTTTAAAATAAAAGGTACAATTACAGGCATGTTTTCTTTTGTCAACTTCTAAATTGAAATATTTTAATCACTTTATTATGTCACCATCTATAAATCATTCTCTGTTTCACAGACGGTAATGTCCTGAGATCTCCATGACAAAGGAAAAAAAATCTATTCAATATTAAATCACAATCTTAAAACTATGCAATCATAAAGACATTTAAAGTTTAATTATCTCTGGATTAGCAACTTCTAGAATATTGTGTATCAGTTATTAAGCAAACACTAATTGGATGCCTATTGGATGCCACATGAGTCAGAGCAGACTAAGTCTCATTTCATATCTTCATCTAAAACTGACTGCTTTGACTAGCACCACATAGGGACACAGAACACTGACCTCTGCACAAGAAGTTCACATTATAAGGATGTTACAGGAAACATAAAACATTCAGTATCAGATCCTCTGAGCTATTAAAACTACTTAAATATGGCATCAGTTCTTAAGTTACCTAATTTAAAATAGTAGCTGAACCTAAGAAAATTACCGAGTCCATTAAAAATTACATTGAGTTATAGACTGCTCTATTGTTGCTCTAGCTCAGGTTATGTCAGTGCTTCATAACAATTGCCTTCCTTACAAATTCCTTAAGAATTCCTTCTAAGTTGAAAACTGCCAGAATCTCAGTTGCTAGAATGTATTTGCTTTACAACTTAGCGTCCTCCCCATTTGGCCCCCTATTTAAGTAAACTTTAAAACATCTGTTCAGGATCAGTGGCATGGCACAGCAGATACCTGGGCTCAAATGCCAGCTCTGATGTTTAGTAGATGCAGAGTTTGAGCCATATATATAGGCCCGCTAAGACTCACCTTTCTTATCTCCTAAATGAGGATAATAACAATACTACCTGCTTTACCTATTTATTCTCCTCTGTGACGTAGGGGATAGTGGGGCAGCGAGCAGAATTAATAGTTTCATATTGAGTCTTTGGCCAGTGTCAATCACATACTAAAGGTTATGATTTAGTGTTTCTTAAATAAATTGTTCAAAAAATTTTAGTACAGTCCCAATTTTTAACATCAAATGAATTGAGAATTTATCAAGTGCCATTCTCAAGATAACTCTGACTTCACAAAGCACATATGCCACAAATGGGATTCTCTTCCTATTGTTCAAAGTTATCAGACAAACCATAGATATACATATATGAATAATAAAGATATACTACATATCTACATGTGTATAAACATTTATGTGTATATATACAAAGCTTATTCACCTCCCATGCACAAACTAGGTAAAGCAATCTTCCAGTATATCTTACTACTGACATAGCCTTCTTTCATAAAACTTTTCAAGAAGATGGAAAATAATCCATTGTACCAAATATTTTTAAAAACATGATAATGGAACTTGCATATGAGATTTAGAGAGGTTCATTTATCCTGCCTATACATTCTCTGAATCTCCAGATAATATTTTTTGCTCCTACTTTTAAGTGTTAGCTATTTTGAACTGTTTTTGATTCAGACCAGTGATTTGTAAACATAGTTATCAATATCTTGCTTTAATTGTGTTCTGCTGTAAAGGATAGGATAACACCACTGACTCTCAGAAAAAAAAATGATTCTAGAGTGGGCAAAATTTGTCAACAATTAAATTGGAATCCAGGAAAAAAAAGTTACACATTTGCTGCTGGTCCCACCAAAAAAGGACAGAACTTGAATGAAGATAAATCTGTGGTTTGAATAGTCATTCCTTTAACTTGTTCTCTCCTTTCAACCTATTTACCTTTTCTTTAAACAAAATAAACTATAATTCCATTACCAAACAATAACTCTTCATTAATTGCAATACTCTCAGAATACAAAAATATTCAAAGTATTAAAAAGAAATCCAAAAAAGTCATGCATTTAAAGAGCAAAATACACAAGTATTCCCATAATTTCAGTGGCACAAATTTAGTGTTACTGCTCACGCTCTATTCCTATAGTTTTTAGCATCATTTTTAGCAAATATTTCCTCCTTTACCAGCTTCATTAAATAGGAAGTTAGCTTGAAAGTCATTTCGCTCATGAATCAATGCCCTTAAAATAAAGACCATCCTGCCAGACATGTCAAGAGAGTCAAAGAAAACTTATCAACTAAAATTTCCATTAAGACAGTTACCTTTTTCAAAAAAAAATCCTAAATAATCTTTTTTTGTTAACCTGCTATTTTACATATAATTGCATTTTAAAGAGCTATCACTTTCCAAAATTATGGAAATAAAGAGATAAGTAAAGGAGCAAAATATTTGCTGTGTCCTAGTAGTGTAGTTAGCTTTTTCAGTGCAACAGGGATATTTGCATTTACTCACAAATGAATACTAATGGCATATGCAGATCTGGCACTGCTCCATAGAACTAATACAGAGAAAGCCAGAGCAGTGCACAGATAGTTGTATTTTCTTGAAATATTCAGACAAAGAGCAACAAGATTAAAGTCAACATCAATTCTCTGAAGTTGTCATATGTGTAAATGATTTGGTGTGTTAAGAATAATGGTAGAATTTATGGTGAAAGCAAAGTTGGCTAGTTAACATCTTACATGACTTTTGAGTCAACTCTTTGCTGACCATCTACTTTGGGCAACATTTTGCTTCCCTAAGTAGGCCACTACTCTGCATTTGTTTGTTTATAGTATAGGAGTGAACATCCTGCTTCTACTGAAAAGCCTTCCTTATTATTTAAAATAAAATCCAGCTCAGCTTTGCATATTGTATGCATTCATATGCTCAATAAATGCTTTTTGAAAGAGTGTAAATTCAGTGAGTAAGAAGGTCATTCACTGAAAAACATCTGTATGTGCCTGGAAAATGGTAACCACGATGATGCACATTAATCAGAACACTGTGGATTGCACCTTCTCACAAACATGTCCAAGGGAACAACTTCCAGTTTAAAATTTAAGCATGAGATTTGGCTTAACCTACAAACCATGACCTTAGTACTTTGTGAAACCCCATTGCATACTAGGCTCATAATTTCCCATATAATCTGCTTTAGGCATGTATTTGAAAATGTCATTTTATATTATTAATAATGTTTCTCTATATATTTACTAACTGAGATAAGACTAATTTTAAATAGTCCAGGGTAATCTGAAAGGGGCCAGAGCAGTTTTCATTTTGACTGTTAAGACTCCCTGCACTGACGGCAGTTAAATTTAAGCAAGTTTACTTCCATTATTATGTTTTCTGTCGTATCTTCAGTTACTTCCATCAGTCACACTGGTGAATGACTTCATATTTCTAAAGTATTGAACCTACTCTGCTGCTCACTCAGTCACTTTAAACAAGGACTACTTGTAAACAAACACAGGGAGGAAGGTAAATAGTATTGTTTTCACTTCTTTACAAGCTTCACTCTGAGGAAACACTAAGATAACAACAACAAAAACCTGCTACAACAAAAACATTTAAAATTGTTTTGATAGCCAAATTTGTAATTCCTTTTATCTTTTCTTCAACTTTTGTCTCGTAATAGAAGCTGAATATATTTGAAATAAAATGGTAATGTAGAAACATTCGTCTAAAGCCCTTAACTATGCCAAAAGTACTGAGCAAAAGCTTTCAGAAGCACTAGCTTTATATTACTTCTAGCAAATCGGTTTAAGAAGAAGTACCTTCATAGAAAGGTTGCCCACCCACTCTGGCTCCCACGCCCGCTCGACCCTGCCATACTATTTATCAGACTAAGTTCACATAAATCAGAAAAGAGCTACAGTGCAATTAAAAGTATCCATGAAGTAATATGATATAAAGCACTTTGCAAATATTAAACATCCCCTAAAGGAATCAGTGTTTTCCACGAGGAAGCTGGTATGGGGGTAGGGAGGGAAGAATAGAGAGACAGGGGAGAGACACCGAGAAAGACAGAAGAGAGACATTCACCGGGTGCAGGATGGGGAGACCCCGAATCTGAGCAGCAGCTCCCTGGGATTGGGAGCCCTGAAGCACTCCAGCAGGGCAGCGGGGGAGTGGAGCCCACCAAGGTGGGGTGACCCAGGAGTCGTGGTTCGGGTTTGCTTCTAGTGCACCTGGAACCTCCCGGTAGATGTTGCCACAGAGAGGCTGAGCGCTCCTTCCCAGCTTCCCTAAATCAAGGTGACTGCCCAAGTCCCAGAAGCAGGAGTCTCTGGGCTTCAGTCAGGAACCACAAAGACCTCGCGCAACTCTTCTGAATAACGACATGACCACCCACTCGACTGCATCCATCTCGGGGGGGGGTGTGTATGTGTGTTAAGAGGTGGGAGGGAAGGGCTGCGGGAACGGGGGCTGCGAGGAGGCGAGGACTGCGCTGTGAGGCAGGAACGCACACCCCAACCCCCCGCAAGTTAACGGAGCCTTTGCCCGTTTTGGGTCTACCCTCTGCTGGGGCCTCGCAGCCTCCCAGGCTCCCAAAGCCGTCCCGCGAAGTGGCCAAGAGCAAGCCCCCCCAACTCTGCCGAGCGGAGTCAAAACGTGTTTCTTCTCTACCTCAAAGAAAGCCCAGAGCGCTGCGCCCAGCTCTGGGCCAAAAACAGACTGACAGACTGACCCCGAAGGCTGTATTTACGCTGGGAACAGCCCCTCCGTTTCCCATCTCTAGCTAGTTTTACCCCGATCCCCAGCGAACGACTCAAAAGTCTTGCCCCGGCCGTGCCTAGGGGAACTGCGCCCCACAAAGTGCTTTGACTGGCATCACACGGTTGTCTTCCTTCCGCGATTTCCCCGTTTGTCATTCCCCCCAAATCGACAAGGTTCCAGCCCGCGGTGCTCGAGCCCCTCCCCGGCGCGAGGCGGGCGGCGCGCTCTGCTCACCGTGGGCCCGGCGGTGGCGACGCGGGCGGCGGATCCGAGCTCTGGGTGCGGCGGCTCCTGCACTCCCGGCGGCAGTTGGTCAGGTAGTTTCGGATGCCTGGGCTTCGGCGGGGCGGAAAGCGAGTCGGCGTGAATGGGCGCGAGCGAGCGGGGCTGTGCGTGCGCGCGTGAGAGTAAGCGGCGGGCGGGCCCCGCACGCAGGCGGCAGCGGCGGCGGGGTCCCGGGCGGGGAGCCGAGCGGAGGAGGAAGCGGGAGAAGTAGTGGAGTTAGGGCGCGTTTTCTGCACTTCCCCTGGAGGCTGGAGCCAGGTGCGGCAAGGCGCGCTCTCGCGGCGTGGGCACGGCACGGGCGGCCGCCGGAGCCGGAGTCCGAGCAGCGCCCGGGCCCCCAGTCGTTCTGCAGGAGGAGGTGCGCATCCTCCTCGGCCCCTGCAGGCACCGGCGCGGTCCCAGACTCTGAGCGCCCGGGGGAGAGCCTCCGGCGTCCTCGGTGACAGCTTGTTGGGCAGTCTGCGCTCTTCCGATCCGCCCAAAAGAGCAGCAGTCAGTACGGCTGGATCTTCCCTTGCAGGGTCTTGGAGCCGCTGGTGCCAAGCTGTGCCGGCGCCCCGCTCCCCGCGGCTGGCGCTGTCAAGGCCGCCGCCCGGCCCCCGGCGCGCCCGAGCCGGCAGCTGCCTCCCGGAGACGTGCCCAGCTGTGTGCGCGTGTGTGTGTCTAAGCAAATCTCTTCCCCTCCATCACTCGAGCGCGCAGGAGGCACTGGGTCCCCGGCGACCAGCTGCAGAGTGGCTGCCAGTCCACACCCTCCCCGCTCTCTCCCCATCCACCCCGCCCCTACTCCTCCTGGCCCTTCCCCTCCTCCCCCTGCTCCTCCTCCAGCAGCCGCTCCCGAGCTCCCCAAGGCAGCGGAGAAACCGCAGCGAAAGGGGCGGAGAAGGGTGGGAAAGGAAGCGCAGGTGTCTTCAGCCGAGATGGGTGCACACGCCCGAGCTGCTGGCTGCAAGGGAAGGGCAGGCCTTAGGCAGAGAAGGAGGGAGGAGAGGATTTGCCTAGAGGCCGAGGTCTTGTTGCTGAGCCAGCGCTCACCCCACGCAGGGTCTGGAGCCGCGGGTCAGCAGCGTGGTAGGGAGGCGGGCTCGCAGGGCTCCCGACCAACTGAGGTCGCAGCTTGGGGACCCTGCGGAAGTGACCGGAGTTCCAGAACTCGGAAACTTAGAAGTCTGAGGGACTCAGTCTCCGAGGAACTGAGACCTGTCTTTCTGAGGTGAGAGGGGCCTAGATTAGAGTTTGGGGCACACAAGTGTGGCTCCAGCAGGCCAGGCGGATAGCTGGAGGCTGTGAGGGGTCGGGGAGTGGCAGCGGCGGTTCTCAGACTGCTGTGTGCATCCGGAGTCACAGGGGGCGATCACCATCTAGCTGGGAAGCGGAGATCAGGGCTGAGCCTTTTTCTAGAGTACAAATCCTAGACCTGACAGTCAGTCGTCTTTCCAATTCAGTTTTTGTACCCCCTGCCCCTGAATCACAGCAAGACAGCGGGCCAGGGGACCCTAAGAGCTGTTTGCTGAGGGATCTGCGGGACTGAACTGATCCCACCTGACGTGAGACTGACGCGTTGCTCATCTCTCCCAGCTCCAGCCTCTCCCTTAGTATCTCTCCCCACCCAACCAAATTTCCCAGAAAACTAGTACCTTTCTCATTGATGAAGTGTTTCTTACTGTAGTTTCCTAACAAACAAATAAATAAATAAACTTTTTTTTCTGTTGAAATAATAGGTTTCTTGCTAATTCCACAGCACAAGCACATTACACAGAACAGTCTCTTAGGCAGGGAATCAGCTTTATTGCTTATGCCAGGTTGTCTCTTTTCAAATGACAGTCATAGAACGCACAGTTGAGTCAACCCGGGGCCAGTGGGGAGAACTGGTCCATTTAATTAGAGGTCTGTTAGAATGATCACTGGCAACACCACCAGAAAGAATGCAGGTGCTCTTTCTAGTATCCATTCCTTTTATTATGGTAATTTCATTCTGTTAATTTAGGCAATCTGAAAATGAAAGGATGGATGCAATTCATAAGGCACAATATTTCTAGATTCTCATTCAGCATCCAGCCCACTGGCTTCCCAGGCCCACTCACCATCACCTTCAAAGATCAGGAGCTCAGATCTGAAACCGCACTTTTCAAATTTCAGGATACAGCCTGGAGGACAAAGCTGTTGAGTTCTAGAAAAAGATAGCTTAAATGTAAGTAAACTTGTTTACCAACTACTCAGACAAAATCATAAGCTCAGCAGCAACAACAAAATGTGTATTCTTTAATAAATTGAGCAGGAGGAATGAGGCTCATTGCCAGTTGTGTGATCCCTTAACCTCTTTACTCATTGTTGGCAACAATAGCCCCGATCACATTCTTGTGTTTGGAAGACAAGGGATTGTTTTTTCCCTTCTCAAAATCACAATGCCACATTATAGTCTAAAAGAAAACTCAGACAATAAAAGTAATAAGAAAGGAAGAAACACAATTTGCTTTTTTCTGAACAAATGTTGCTGTTCTGTTTTTCTTGAGGGGAAAAATGCTGATAAGCAATAAAGTCCACAAAGGCATGACAATAGCTTTTGAAGAATGCTTCATTCTATCTCTCAGTCCTTTCAGTTAGTAATGTTACTTAAAATGTTTATTTATATATCTTTTTATTGGTATTCATTCTTTCTTTTGTGCCAGGAATACTACTAAGAAGGACAGTGAGGATGAGATGAATTTGGTTTCTCATAATTCTGTCTTGCTTCAGGTTTATGTCTGGCAGGAGAGGAACATTCAGCTGCCTGTGCTTCTCAGTAATCCTAATTTCTCCTCAGAGGACCCTTAGCTCTGTAGCTAATGGAGACTGTCTATCAACGATTTTGCCTAGTTTGTGCAAGATCACACCTGGGACTGGCAGCAAGTACAGACCCAGAAACTGTGAAGCCAAGCTCTGGAAAGAGTTTCTACCTCCCCTATGTTGGAAGATTAGATCAGGGCACAGGCACTTTTTTTTGCACTGCTCTTCCATAATGAGCTGACCTTCCTGCCAGGTGACTTGCAGAGGTATGTGAGTGGGGATCTAACATCTTTAATAGAAACATTTTGATATCATGCTAAATTAAATAAAACTAAACACCAAAGTGGCACATACAAGAAATCTTTTTAAAATGCAATTTTGAAAATAGTCACAAATTCATTGGTTTGTTTTAGTCACCAAAGCCAAATAAAGTTCACAGTGCTAAAAACATTTGCTAATTAGAGTTTTGATTTGGTAAAGAGTTTTTTTCTAAGCATCATCATACTCTTGTATTATAAAGATGCCACCATTAGATATTGTTCAGCTTACAATGTCAAATCGAGGCTGTCCTCTCAATAAGGTATGGAAGTGTTTGTCATTATTAGGAAATAGAGGGTTGCTGATTTACTTTCTAAAAATTTTTTTTTCTTTTAACCAATCACTACTATCTAGATTCAGTTGGGTTAGCTGATATACATTGAAAGGACTCCTCTATGTGCCCAACGCTGGAAACGAAAAGATGAAGGAAAGAAGTCTGTGCTCTCAGGAGGTGAGCTCAGTAATCATGAGGATTATCAGGTATGGATCTGGTTGACCTGGGGCTTTGCCTTATATTGACATGAGCCCTTGTACCCACATCCCCATGATCCATCACTCACTGTAACTGAGTATCTCTTGTATGAAAGGTTTTTTTTTTTATATCATTCTATACTATAATAAATACAGGCCTAAAAGTGGCCACATCTGCTTGTAATGGAAGCATTTCTTGTAGAAAAAAGGGTCTAAAGTAGGATGTCACAAACTATAAGAATGGTAAAGAGGATTTAACCTCTTTCCAGGTCTACACCAGCACTGGCTAATATGAGGTAATGCAAGGCACACATATAATTTGAAATATGCCATAGTTAATTAAAAAGCAAAAAGAAACAGGTGAAAGTAATTTTAATAGTGCATTTTATTTAACCTAAGATACCCCAAGCATTATAATTTAAAACATGAGAAATATAAAAACCATTAATGAAATATTTTCCTTTTTTTTTTCTATCATATTGGGCAGAATGGCTTCCCTGCCCTAAACTCTGGAACCTATGAACATGTTGCTTTACATGGCAAAAGAGACTTTGCAAATGTAATTAAGGTTATAGACTTTAAAATAGGGAGACTATTCTGGATTGTCTGGATAGGTCCAATCTAATTGCATGAGTTCTTAAAAAAATAGCATTTGCTCAGTCTATAAGCATTAAGAGATGTGACAGAAAGAGAAGCCAGAGAAAATAAAGCATGAGAAGGATTTCAAATGTTCTCGTTGGTTTAAAGATTAAAAGGCCAGTGTGACAAGGAATACAGGTAGCCTTCCAGAGCTAGGAGAGGATCTTGACTGACAAAAAGGAAATGAGACCAACACCCTCATAGATCTGTCCTGTAGCCCCAAGTAACTGAATTCAGCCAACAACTTGAATGATCTTGGAAGCAGATTCGTCCACAGAACCTCCTGAAAAGAATGTGGTCCCACCAGCACCTTGACTTTGGCATCATGAAATTAAGGAGAGGGCCCAGCTGAGTGATTGATCTACCAGGACTTCTGGACTACAGAACTGTGGGTTAGCAAATGGTTGTTTTAAGTCACTTGACTTACAGTAATTTTTTATAGCAGCAATGGAAAATTCATGCATGTATCAAGTCTTGAAATCTGGTTTGTACTTTATGTTTATAGTTCATCTCAATTTGGACAGGCAACGTATCAAGTATTTGATAGCCACATTTGGCTAATGGCTACCGTACTAGGTAGTGGAAGTCTAGACTAAGAGGGGTCAAGATCTTTAGGAAGTGTTAGGTTGGTAGGTTACATATAATGTCACCATATGGAAAGAGGGGGGGAGCAAGGAAAGGAGGAATTTGGCGAAATCTCCCTGATTCCCCATGCTTGACCCACATGAATAGGGTGGTCCTACCTATACAAAAAACAGGCTTCAGTTTGCCAGATTGTCAAAATTCATTGGACTCTAATAAATTTGCTTTGATTACAATGAAGCTATTAATAAAGTCTTTTTTTAAATATTCTGTCTCTGTCTCCATTACATTTTGGAGCAATGAGGAGAAGAGTTGTTGCTTCCACTTGTATTTATGCTTAAGGTACAGCATCAGTTATTTAGGTCCAGTGCAATGGGGTATGGGATAGTAGGCAAGGGTAAGGTCTCCAGAAGAAGAATTATGTGGGTTAATTTAGCATTCTTTTAAAGGCTGTTCCTCCATTCCAGAGAAACTGCTTTTCAATATCAACCTTCTGAGGGCTGCGTTTTATTTTTATTAAGAAGGGCAGAATGTTATAATTCTAATTGCAGTCCATGTTTAGTTTTCTAAATCACCTTTTACCATCTTCCCTAATGGTTATGAATGTAAACTCTTGTCCTATAAAATCTAGAGCAGGAACTAACCACTGTAATCTGAGACCATTTTTGGAAGTTTGGGTCCAAGAGCTGTAGCCCTGGACTGGGAATGAAGAAAAAAATGGAACCTAGACCAGGAAGGAGAAGAGAGATTTTTCTGGGCTATTAGGATCAGGTGGGTAACAATGTAAAGACAGGAAAGTGAAGACAGCTGGCTTGATAGGTTGACTATAGCAAAATGCTGTTGTAAGCAAGCTATAGTTGGTGCTACAAATGAAGAAGTTTCATAGACACAATTGATAAATCATTGACTATTGGTGATTGTTCAATCTCCAGCTCCTTCCCCTTCCCCCAAAATGGGGGGCAGAAGTGGGGCTGATAGTTCCATCCCTCTATTCATGGCTGGTTTCCCAGGCAACCAGCCCATCCTTAGGTGTTTTCCAAAGGTCATCATTAACATAAACCCAGTCATGGTAAAAAAAAAAAAAAAAAGCTTATTAAGGAATAACAAGATACCTGTTTCACCTTAATGCCTCAGCAAATTCAAAATTTGCTTAATGCCTGAAGCAAATTCAGAAACTGAGGATCAGGGACCAAATATTGTAACCAAAGGCATTCCCATTGCTCTTGCTGCTTAGGGGTTCTACAGGTCTTGGAGACTGTGAGCCAGGAAACATGGACAAGGACCACAAATGTATGTGTGTGTGTATGTATACATATATCTCTATCTATCTATCTATCTATCTATCATCTATCTATATGAAATGTATAAATGTATTTTGGTCATCTGAATAACCAAATATTTATTTCCTATAAATCATAATTTTGCAGGCATGTATTACATGTCTGTTACTCCAGGGGGAAAATTCTGGAGTAAAGTGCCTTTAAAACTGAAATCAGTCAAAGGCAGAAATGAAGTAGAAGAAACACGTTCATTTCTTACAAGCACTCATCCCGCATCTTTTGTGATGTGCATACAGAAGAAGAGGACCCACCCAAACCTCTCTTATCCAAATAAGGCCTCGCTCACCCTTGCAATTACCTATTGATATATCTATATGAAATGTATAAATGTATTTTGGTCATCTGAATAACCAAATATTTATTTCCTATAAATCATAATTTTGCAGGCATGTATTACATGTCTGTTACTCCAGGGGGAAAATTCTGGAGTAAAGTGCCTTTAAAACTGAAATCAGTCAAAGGCAGAAATGAAGTAGAAGAAACACGTTCATTTCTTACAAGCACTCATCCCGCATCTTTTGTGATGTGCATACAGAAGAAGAGGACCCACCCAAACCTCTCTTATCCAAATAAGGCCTCGCTCACCCTTGCAATTACCTATTGATATGGAGATGAACAAAAGCTGGGTGAGAGATTCTGGAAATATTGTGATTTAACGTACAGCTGACCCCTCCAGAAACCTCACTTTACAATCTACTCATTCACCATCTTCTGCAATGGCCCCTATGCTAGAAAACTGGAGCATTGTAACCAGACTAATAACATACAATAGCAGCAGCAATAAAATCATGATAATCCTCAAGCAGGAGGATTCAAAATCCTAAACAGATTAAGTCTATAGCTCACCCATTCCACAGGCAGTCAGCATCTGAATAGGAAGGGACTCCAGAGCAATAATCACGAAGCAGCTGCAGCCAGGGGGCACATCCAGGCCACAGGAACTGTAGAAGAAAATAACCTTAAGGGCAATAACATACATGTTTTAATGACTCCAGCATAGGCAAATCTTTTCCATCAGGTAGGATGCACTCGGGAGAGTGGTCCTGTAATAGGA